GCTAGAATTGATATATCAGACATACTGTGTGAACAACATCATGAAGCACATTCATTTAGAAACAGAAGATCAAATGGTTTTGTCATTTAGTAATAATGCAGCCAGAACAACTATCAATGAAAAGATCCAAAGTGAACACAAGAGGCAGCCCTATGAGATATGGATCGATGATATAAAGAGCTTCTACATCGACACGTAATGACGAAAGCCATTGCTGCCCATCAAGCAAAAAATCACAAACTGTTTATCCCCACGCCGTTTAAGGGCAGAAATAGAAATTAATGATGATGACAATAATGGTGGTTGTGAAAAAAAAAAATTAAAAATAAATAAATGAAGAACTCCATTCCCGCCAGTGAGCATTGAATACACAGTGCTAGATTCTTGTTTGTATATACCAGTCGGCACTTGTTGGAGCGGCCAGGTTCTTTTTTTATTTGTTTCTGATGGTAAGCAATGATACGCAGTGTCACATATCACTCCTGTCACGTGCCTGATATAATGATTTCTCCTTCAGAACCAACAGCACTCAGAAATAATTATGTTGAGTCGTTTGGCTCGTATTGGTCTAAGGGATTCCCCGTGGCCAATATACGCTCAACTTATTTCTGGAGTAGGGCAACTCAAGTATTGGCACTACAAAATATATCTGTATATGAATACAATATTCCTAGGCACACTTGGCTGGACACCCCCACTACTTACTAAAGAAAGCACTCAGGTTATGATAGTTCATTATCATAACCATGTTAACACATATAATATTTATGACTCATACACACAACAATGCTAAACACTTAGAAAGGTGAAATAGAGACACCTAAGTCAGCCATGAAAATGAATGCATGTAATCAATACAACATATATATATATACATACAATAGTGAAACAGATGCCAGATCTCAGTAGATGGATCCTAGAATACAATGACCAGAATCAACCAAAAACTAAACAGTCAGAAAGTCCTGGAGGAAGCACATCTTTTCATCATCGGAATACATTGGAGCTGCGGGGAATATCGCAAAACATGGAATCAACTGGCACTTATCCTCTTTCTATCGTTGATGCTTCCCTCAGCTCCTGATGATTCGACTGTCTATGAATCTGGTAACTCTGCTTCAAATGGATCAGGCAGTGGAAGAGTACCTCACCATAGAGGACACAGCAACTGTACCGGTACTCAGCAAGTCTCTACTACCAGTCAGGTCACAACACTGTCTCTGGGCTACACCAAGCTCTTGCACTGTTAGGCTGTTTTGGGGTATATGGCACCTCATATTGATGATGTCAGGAACTTCACAAGTGGTAGCTGGTGGGTAGTTGTGTGATAGGTTGGTTGGTAATTGGTTGGTGGGTGTTGGTTGGACTGTGATTTTTCTGCCAGCTCTTCACAAAGGTTTCATCCTGTCAGGAAAGAACTCAGAATTAGTCATCACCAAGAGGGTATCATCTTGACAGGAAAGACAGAATAAGCATCAGTCACCCTCCCACATCAGCCTACTCCACCTCTGCTCCTGTTTCATTCCTCAGAGTGCACTCTCAAGACCAGGAGACAATGTCTCCTATCATTCATCTGTCTGTTTATTGCAAGAGATGGAAAGTCAGATATATATAGTGGAGATAGCTAGACACTCTCACAGATATATCGATCTCTCTCCCCCTCCCATCTGCACACAGACACCAAGATTTACCGTCAGTACCTCTATTCCGTACGCCTCTCAAGCCAGTCCCACACATTCATTGATCTGTGTCAAACCCACTCAACGCAGCTCAAGTACTGACCTAAATTCTCTATCCCCATTCGTATGCACAAACTTCTGTTGATAGTTTAAATGGTACACACTTGTAGGATCATTATCTTTACCATTATGTGTAGGTTTTTTAGGGCACAGGCTATTTAATCTGTACAGAAGAAGGTCTAAGTTCGAATCCGCTTCTCTAGAGATCAAGAACAGTCGAATTATGTGTGATCCCATAGCCGATTCTGATCTCTCTACAGCATGACCACTTTAACAGACATCAATTAAGGTACTCGTAAACTATAATTAACTTACCCAAGCATAGGAAAAGTCCTCAACACTACAGACCGCCTTCTGAAAGTGAAATTTGCTGGCGTCGATGCGTACATCTGAACGCCAGGAAAGCCGGCAGAAACAATGCCACAAAAATTCAAGTCAGGCGTCGGTAAGAAGAAGTTCCTTGTATACATGAGCAAGGGGTAAACCGGTTTCTAAGAATCCTCAAATAACTCCAGTAATATTTATCAAATAGTTGCAAATTTGAAAATGACGCTAAGTCAAAGCAACTAGAAGATGTAGATATTATAATTTCTTCCGATAAAGGCATATATCGATATAAGGGACTATATACCTTCCCGGACGAGTCCAAGTTTGAAAGTTGTGTCGAGCACAGGTACTACAGGTCCCTACTCTTTTAGGGTGAGGTGTAATGGCTTGTCATTCCTTGACACGCAGTACAAGCACATTTGTGGGCATCATTTGTTTTAGTGCTACTGTAATAGTCACTGAGTGGTGAGTTCCGGTACCTTTTTAAAGACACTTTATTATGAGTACCGGCACCTTATTTTAGACAATTTGTTATGAGTACAACCTCCTTTGCTCCTAGGGGAAGAAAGTCCTGGATGTGGTCAACATCACTCCTTTATTTCTGTCATGAGATGAGCAGCCACCATACAGAGTGGGCGAGTCGGGACTTGATATTCCTCGCGCTCAGCAAAATTTCAAACTTAGACCCGTCCGGAAAGGTATATAGTCCCTTTTATTGATCTATACCTTTATCTGGTAAAATAGTAATTTCTGGACCCTCTAGTTGCTTTGATATATCTTTATTTTCAAACTTGCAACTGTAGATTGGGTAATTCTGGTGTTTTATTTGAAAATTCCTGTAAACCGGTTTACTCCTTGCTCATGAATACAAGGAACTTATTTCCTAGTGACGCGGGTTTGATTTTGAGAACGTGTATCCAGTCTTAAGAGAATTTGGGGCATTCATAGTTCCAGTTCTAACTTGGAAGATTTCCTAGACGAATCACAGTCCAGCCAACAACCACAAACCCATACCATTCTATGTACCAAGCATAACCATGTCCTGCCCTGTATGCCACTACCTCAACATGGCCAAAACGTGTTAGTGAGCTCCAGGACGAGTGAACATTTGCAGACGTTGTGTCATCCATCTTGTGAACCAGTCTTCAAGAGATTGGTTGGGCTCTGAGACAGTTTTAGTGACCTGACCTGTGAGAGAGACTTGTTGAGTCCCTATGCAGTTTCTGTGGCCTCGATGGTGAGGTAATCATCTGGTACCAGATCAACCAGAGGCAGAGATACCTGAGTCAACTGCAGTCGAATCACCATGGACTGAGGGGAGCATCGACCTACGAACTAGGATAAGTAATCTATGAATTACCATCATGCTCTCTTCCCACAGCTCCGCGTGGTTCCTAGGATGAGCCTATGTATTCATCAAGACCATATCTGGCTGCTTCAATGTCTGGGTCGTGTCACTAAGTCCTGAGCATTCTTGAGAATCTATTCTTTAATTCATGTGTAAATATTATACTTATTACATATATCCATTTTCATGGCTGACTTGGGTGTCCCTGTTTCACCTTCCTAACTGTTTAGCATTGATATGTGTGTGAGTAACAAGTGTTATATGTGTTAACATGGTTACGATAGTAGACTATCATAACCTGGGGGCTATCTTTTTATAGTAGTAGGAATGTCCAGCCGAGTGTGCCTAGGAATATTATATATTTTGTAGTGCCAAAACTTGAGTTGTCTTACTCCAAAAATATGTTGAGCGTATATTGGCCACGGGGCATCCCGTTAGACCAATACGAGCCAACGACTCAACATAATTATTTCTGAGTGCTGTTGGTTCTTAAGGAGAAATCCTTAAATCAGGCACGCGACAGGAGTGATATGTGACAACTTCCTAAACTATTTCCTGGTACTTGTCGCTAGCCTGATGTATTTGTGAGCCAAAGATAATTAGGCTATCCTCCGAATAACGGTCCCAAATTATCGAGGCCGAAAATATACTCTAACAGGGAGTCATTCACATGAAAATTGCGGACTTCCGGCGACTACCGCCACCGCCGAGAGTATCTCATGCGTCGCTATGAGCGGCGCGGAGTGGGGATAAACTAGATGGCTGGAACTCACGAGCAAATCAAGTAAAGGAAGCTGCAGGAGATACGGTAGCTCCTTCTAAGCTAAATGACGGATTACTTATCTGCTAACCTGGCGAAAAGGCGGAAAATGCAATGGTATGGACATGTAATAATATCTAACGGCCTCTCAAAAACAATACTTCAGTGCTCATTGGGGGGAAAGAGGAGAAGAGGCAGACCAAGAAAGACCTGGTTACAGAACCTGACTGACTGGACAGGCATGCAACAATGAAGTCCATCGCAACTGACCTCCAAAGGTAAAGAGAGCTGACTAGACAGTCAACATAAACTGGTGACCCAACGACAAGTGGTGTTGCGGGATGATGATAATGATACTGAAGAACCTGGCAGCGATACAATTGTACTAGATCATTGATGAATGATGACTGTTTGAATGACATGCTTTGCTTTATGGATGGCGTTTTTGTTTTGGCCATTATAAAACTTGTCTCATTATTTAATTTTAAGGACCGTATATGCATTTACACATAAATGTTTATATACACAAGGCACTTAATCAAGTCATGGTTCCTTAAGATTCCTTATTAAAGAAATGTGTAAAAAGCTCACCGCCCCCCCCCCCCCACAGTCTTTTTTGTGTAGGCGGCCGTGGCTCCTTGTGTGCACTCTGTTGTGCTTTGTTAATTCCAGGTGCGTTTTCGTACATTTTGTGATGTGACATATTTTAACTCTTTCTATACTACATTGTTGTAGCAGCAGACGCCCAATATGGAAATTAATATTAAACTTAATATGCAGATGTACATTGCCAATGGGTAAATTTATAAGATTTCCTTAGTATGATATGATTAACTATCAACTGTTGGAGCAGACTCTAGACGATGGTTGGAATTCACGAAGAAAAAGCATTACATTTTTCTTGGGAGGGAAGAGTTTAGTAAAAAGTCAGTGAGGTCAGTATAACATTACCTGCCATCAGTTGGGAGAGAGATGACAAAAAAAAAAAAAAAAATTTTTAAGCGAACTAAGAACTGATGGGAAAACGCAGAGATAGATAGAAGGCTGCGACAAAGTCTGATAATTATATAATACATGAAGAAGAAAACTAGAGAATGAAAATATGGGGGGAAAGATAGGGGAACAGAATGTAAATGAACACGACGTGACTCGAGGTGGTTGACAGTCTCCACTGGAGAATGAAAGACTTAATATTAGGACAGATTATAATTTTAGGACAGTAGAGTTTTGCCAATGCCCTCATTTCTTGCATGGATCACCAGCGAATATGATAAGCCAAGTCTGTGCGCACTCAATATCTTCAAAGAAAAAACTACAGGCGACAAGTGTTCCGAGTTGCTATTTTCTTGCACCAGTTATCAGGGAATTAATATTACAACAAGCTTCTTATCTTTAACAAGAACAGTCCTAGATTCATTTATATTTCCTTAAAGAAAGTTATGAAATGCTCGCCATTTTACCCCCTCCACTCCTTCTTTTTTTCCGAACTCGTTAACCATATATAATGCATTGAAATTTAGTCATTGGATTCATAGGAACGAAATGTGAAACACTGTGGTCGGGAAATTTTAGGGTAGCAGTATAGTTAGAAAAAAAAAACGATCAATTTATTTATTTTATTTTATTCAGTTCTCAGCATCTTGAAGTGAAACCACATTGTTATCAACTTTAATCACTGAAAAAAGAAACAACCGTGTGCTATACCACATTTCGTTCGTATGAAAAGTCGTGAGTAGTAGATATCGAACTATTTATTTTTTACCAAAGGCATTTTAGATATCACATCATAACTATGTTTTTGGAGTTATCAGCTTTTGTTCTTATTGCCTGCATTCTCTTGCTGAAAAGGTAAGTTCGAATTACCAGAGAGAATTTGCGATATTTAAAAACCTTTTTTCATGTGACTCATTTTGAAGTCCCAATTTAAGTCGATTTTATAGCCAGGAAAGTGAGTGGATAACACGGTTGACTTGGCTTTCGGACAGCGAAACGAGAGTCGCACCGTGGCCGGTTTAAGACCCTGTGATGTCCTAAGCACTTGAAAGATTTTGATGTATTCCCCCCCCCCCCCCAACTCCCGAGCCGCATTAACAGCTTTATGGGTCCCTGGAAAAGCCAGCGTGCTGGGGGACCTACGATGCCCCTCACAGGAATGAAATATAACTGGTCATATACAGATTAGCATGGGCCTATAATAGACCTGTGAAACGGATGTACACGCAACACTCGGGTTCTGGAACAGGACTGGCGTCCACAAGTGGACGAACAGCCAGAACTTTCCGCCGGAGTTTGAAGGCCGGTGAATACGAAGAAGAAGAAGAAGAAGAAGAAGAAGAAGAAGAAGAAATGTTATTTATTGAAATTAAACGAAATTTACAGTAAGTAAGATAAAAAATAATGTCTTATTAGTTGTTGTTGTGTATACCTCCATTTTATTTCTATATCAAAAGTGTTATAGTTAATTAAAAAAATTCTAAGTTTTTCATAAAATCTTCAAAACCAGTCTTATGTAACAAATCGACTTGTATACTTGGTAAAGTTAGGGCATCCAACCTGCCTTGTTCGACTGTTCTGATATTGTCATTCTTTAAATATACTTCGGCCGAGAAAATAGTCGCTCAACTTTACGGCTATTAAAAATGTCTTTCTGATGCCCCACACACGTACTTAGTGCTTAACGGTTAATCCGACCCTGTGTCTATCCACGCCTTCTGTCTTGTGCACTTTCATTCAGTTCTGACACAGATGATCTTTGATGTCGTGATGTAAAATTATCCAACATCTTCTCCCTCGGTCTCCTTTTGCCTCTTTTTCCTTCCAACTTTCCACCTGTCACGATGTACTCCAGTTTTCTCCTACTCATTACATGTCTAAAGAATGTAGATTGTCTCCCTCTATGTTTGCAATTAGTTCTCTTCGTGGGTCAGTTTCTTCCAAGACATCTTCATTACTCTTTTTATCTGTCTAGTGTATTCTCATCACTCGTAAATAAGAATAGACAGTGTATTACGAGTCATACATTACAGATATTACTATTGTTGTTAGGGTTTCGTCCCTGTTAAGAGCATTATTCTAATCTCATTCGACCAAGCCATATAGCATGACGTTAGAACTCGTTTACACTGAAATAAAGATATCCAGACAATGGCAAGACAAGGTACTGGTCACTACATCTAATATTGGCCTTGCCAAGTCAGCCCTGGTCCCCAGTTTAACAAGTCGTACAAAACTGAATCCTACAAAAAAATATATAACAGGGACCAAATCGAACACGTTTAGTGTCGAGAATTGTGATGATAATCATTTGTATTTTCTTTTCGACTATTTGTACTAAACAAATAATAAACGGTGTCAGGTCAGACAAAATAAAATACCATCTCAGGCACCCACCCCCTTCCTTTACCATGATTTTCTCATTCTTTGCTGTTTGTATCTATGTGTGACATTTCCTTTATCTTAGTTCAGCTACTTGGTCCTTCTTCTTCTGCCTTTTACTCCCCAATATGATCTCAATCAACTCACACCAAGTCGTTCTAGCCATCGCTTTTGCATGCAGCTCAACTCAAGCGCGAGACCTACCCCCCCCCCCGCCCCTTTCCACCTATCTTTTTAACTTCACTCTCTAGATCCCTTCTCCATGTTTTTTTTCCCTACCGTTATTGCGCTGCCCCTGTGGGTTCCAGTGTAAAGACATTCTAGTCATATTGTTCTCAGTTTTTTTTTAAACGTGTATCCTATCCAATGCCAGCTTCCTTTCCTTATCTCTTGGTCCATTGGAACTTGTTTAGTTCTCTCTTAAAGCTCAACATTAGTGATTCCATTATACCCTTTAAATCCCTCTATTCTTAGCAGATACCAGATACTGAATTGCCTAATCATTGTGTGAACTTATTTCTCAACTCATTCTGCCCAGGCACTTGGAGCAGCACTTCAGTCAGTTCACGCGTCTGGGTGTCCCAGGCCCACAACCAAGCCTGGTCTTGGGGAATCTGAGGGAGTTGCGCACTAAGGTGCGTATGTCTCAGTGATCATTGACTTGTTGGTTAATGAGAATGAAGAAAGTTCAGGATCTATTAGTAGTTCTAGTATTAGCTGCAGCAGTAGTATTAGTAGCACCAGCAGCCGATGCAGTAATAGAAGTTGCAATCAGGTTTGTTTTTTTCTGACGGTGCGCAAAAACACGCAGTACTTGCACCATTTTAAAGACATTCTTTTCTTTGACACTACTGTAACAGACACTTTAAAGGCACCTTGTGGTGTGTAAGGGCACATTTTTTTTTAGACACCTTGTGGTTAGCAACCTATTCTATAGAAAAAAAGGACACAGCTGGTTGTAGTAGTAGTAGTGGTGATTGTAGTAGTGGTTGTTGTAGTCAGTGCTGTAATCGTAAAATGCATAGTACCTAGAAGCTTTATAAGCTGCAACTCGACATAACATTTTTGTAGTAAATACGTTAATCTAAACAGCCGGGTACTATAGTTGTTATCCTGATGTTAATGCTCAAAGTCTGCTTTCATTCTCTGGACACCCTGTACAGTAGTGAACACTATCGTAAAATTACAACACAATAAACTTACCATCATTATGTAGCAGGTCCTTTGCAGAATGTCGCTATCGTCACGGTCTGCCTGAAAGAAATTCGATCTCTCGCCAAATTTCCCGCCTTGAGTACTTTCAAATTTGAGGAGTTACTTATATCCTGTGCCCATACAACTTCTGGTCGATCCCTGCCCCTCCTTCCTGGTACCATGCCTTCTGCTTTTATTTTTTCCAATCCGTCATGGCGCTTGATATGACGAAAATATTTCAGCATCCGAGACAAGATGCTGTTTATTAGGCAGTCTTTTTTTATGTTAAGATTAAGTTAATTAGTTAGTTTAAACATCACCGCAATCGGGGTTTCCCACACTTGCTCCGTTCCCGTGCCAGTGCGAATAGAATGAAATCTCTCTCTTTGTGAATAAACTAGTTTCGGAACAGTCCAAAAACACGTAGAATTCTTACATAAGGTGTTTCACCAGCTCACACGTAAACCGGCCACCGGTCACATTGAACAAAACGACACAACAGCTGCACAAATGAAAGGCATTCCATAGGACAATCACAACTCACAGGGCTGCAACCAAGCACTTAACTCAGTAGCTCAGGCAGCGAAACCGTAGACTACCCACCTTATGTGAAAACTGCTTTTGCAGAGCGCTGTCGGACGCAAAATAACTTCGAAGCTTAACATTCTGCCAAGCCTTTCCTCTGTTTTGGCCGGAAGTCCAGTTCAAATTTAAAGCCGCCATGACAACTATCCTTACTTGCTCTGTCACTGTTCTCTTCCCCAGTTTGTGTTTGTGATCTGCCTTGCCTGGGAGCCTCAGCATCAGATTTTTAAACATCGTTTTTGGCATATTTAGATTTTTTGGATAACTATGATGTAGTTTCCTAAAAATTATACACGAACAGAATTATTGCTGATTTAGATTACGTAGCTAAATTTCTCGCCTAGTGCAGGTTTTACTGACATGTTAACCGTTGCCCACAGGGCCAGTTTCAAGCAGTGCAAGAATGGACGGCAAAGTATGGCCGCATTTTTGGATTCTTCGAGGGTTACACGCCTGTCATGGTCGTCGGTGATCCGGAAGTCCTGCGTAATGTGCTTGTGAAGGACTCTGCTAACTTTATGAAAAGGAAGGTAAGATCTGACATTCACACCTTTACTGGACATGTACATTGAGCTAGCAGTTTATTTCATGTGTAGGGGTGCCAGAACCTGGGGGCAATGAAGAAGGGAGTGGGCATCTTGAACCCTCAGAATAAAGTTATGGGTAAAGGATGCATAATGACTGAGATACCCCCGAAATTATAAAGGGGTAAACTCTCCCCACCCATCCCTAACATGTATAGAAGCTCTTTAAGCCCATCAATGTCTTGGAAAATGTGTAAAGGGGCTGTAACCCCAATGTTTTTTCTTGTGTCGGCGTCCCTGCCCCTGATTTTAAGTGTTTTTGATATCATCATTACCGTCCATATTCTTGTACAGTCGTGTTATACTCATGCAGTTCGGTCTGTTTGAGTCACAGATGTGCTCTAGTAGAACCCTTTTCTATGGCTTTTTATTTACCGTTGCGATTTACGAATCAGCCATATATACTTGTGGATTGGCACCTGAGGCAACAGATTATGTCCCTGAAAACTGTCTTAAATACAACATAGCAAGGCAAAACTTCCGGGCAAGAGAAATCCCTGTGCAAGGCAAACTTTACGGGTTGCTGAGTGAATTTGAAAAAAAAAAAAAAAACATAGTAAAGTTCATTCTAGAGACAATTTTGCAGATATAGATAATCTATTTCAAACGAACGAAAGAAGCAGAAGAAGAGTTTACCATTGCTAAAATGTAAAAATAAAATCGTAACCACGGCAGTCTCTGGTGACCAGTAATGTCAACGTAAATCCTTAAACGCAAAGACTCCAGTGCTTGCATCGCAAAAGTGGTAAATGTAGGCAGTAACTGACAGTTTGAACAGACTGTAGTAATGTGAAAATAAATCGCTTATTCGAAATTTGTTAATCTTTTGTCAATTTCTACTTTGTGCCGCTAGATGTTACAAGTTAAATGAATGATAGGGAGCCCAACCAGGGCATGTTGGTATGTTGTGATTCGTGAGGTCTCAAGCTGTCAGTGACTCCTTCAATCCATCTTCTTCTAAGTCTTCATGTGCATTTAGGTGCTTCTATTTTCATATTGTATGCTCTCACTGCACAATCAATAATGCGCAAGTACATGCCATTCTAAACGTAATCAGCTAAGCGCCATTTTTAGTAAAGTTCACAACACAAAACCGTCGCTGGCATAACAAAGAGAGATCTTACATTTAACGTTGTTGAGACAGCAGAAGTGCCTCTCTGGTTTTCATACACAAATTCGAAGTGAAGTTTGCAAAATGAAGGGTGACTGCGAACTCTGTATAAACTAAAAAGGACAACGCAGTATGATGATAATGATGATGACGATGATGATACACATGATGATGATGCTGCTGATGGCCGTGGTGGTATTTTTGATGATGATGAATGGGCTGATTTTTCCGTTCCGAATATCATTTACACTGACTTTCCATTCTCATTTCAGCCATTCCCACTGGCTCCACGAAAGAGCCTTGGTCTGTTTCTAGAAAACGGGCATCAGTGGAAGCGAAGCAGATCTCTGTTGACTCCAGCCTTCAGCACCGGCAAGCTAAAAAAAGTAAGTTGTTTGATTCCATGTGTCTCATTTTGTACACAGTGTCTTAGAATGTTAGCGGTGGCGAACTGGTCCGGTGGCATGGCATGATTAGTTAGCACGTGTACGCCTTAGGAGGTATAGAAGGTAACAGTTACAGTGGAGAGGATATCTCTTGATATTTTCTCGTCGCTTAGCTGTCGAGAATATCCCTGCGCAGCTAGCATCGTAGTCCTAGTAACTGGTATCTTTCACGTGTTATAGTTTCTGCATTAATGGCGAAAGGATGCAACAAGTATTTTTTCCTCGCTATGCTCGAGAGTGACGTATTTGTGATAAATAGTAAACGGTAACAATAGCTAGTAAGTTTATGCATTTTTTTCTTTTTTTTTTCTTTGGCAATAAAAAGTGTCAAGCTGATCACAGCCGTTACACGCACGCAACGCCACTGAACTGGCCACGACGGCAATAGTAAGAGGGCCATTTGGATCCCCTGCTGAAGCGGACCAACTTAAATATTAAGGGGACAAACAATTGCGTATGCTTTATATGACATAGCAGAACCAACCCCAGCATATTTTGGCTATTTTTTTTTTTCTAGGCAAATGTTGCGTTTACTAGTGTGCCATTGCTCTAAGCGGTCAGCTCTCAGTACAACTGACGATACCAACGCAAGACATCACAGGGATCGAACCCGGCACCCCACGCATTACGAAGCGCGTTCGCAACGCCCAAGCCAAAGACGCCAACAAACATTAGACAATGTGGTGACAATTGTCATGACTTTCCCTTGTCTTTTACCACCCCCAGACACCCCCCCCCCCTTTTTTTTTCCCCCGCCGACCTACAAATTTCAAAACTAACTCGTTCATACGTGTCCTCCTATCCGTTTCCACCCCGTCCTGTTCCCGCTCCCACACCCTCCCCCCAACCCCTATGTCATCTCTTGCAATGTGCTGTTTCTACTTGCACTGGCTGTTGTCTAGGAGATGATGTGTCTAGTGAATGCTCTTAGCACACATTCTTACGATGACATAACTGGCACAAGCCGACACCGACTTAGTAGTACGATACATCAGTTCATTGACATTTCATCACGTACATAAACGTCCTGTCAGTGTCCTAATATACAGCTTGCACACCACAGCTATCAGACTCCAACTAGCTGGTTTCTCACACCATCATTGACCAGAGTTCGCGCAGATGGATCTGGTTATTCTCATCGACTTCCCACAGAATGGCCTGGCTGATCTTGGCTTCAATGTCGTCGTCTGATCTTCCTCTCACAGCAATCAATCTCACATTGTCATTCTCTCGATCACTCTCCCGTCCTTTCGCTCCAACAGTCAACATATACTAACTGATCAGACTGGGGCCCAACCTATACCAAGTAATCGTTCCACGTGGCAACACGTGGTTGTTCTTGGGTTCCACGTGGCGACCTGTGGTCGCTATCATCGGGTTCCACGTGATAACTCGTGGTCATCACCTATTTTGAAAACCTCAGTTAATTCGAGTATCTGGCTTCTCTCGGTATTCTTGTTACCTTGGGCTCCCCCCCCCCCAACCTTCCTAAACAGGGTGAAAATATCCCCCATTACATCTCTGTTTTTTCAACCAGATTCCTTCATGTTATTTTTTCCCTATTTCTGCGCTCGCGCGCGTGTGTGTGAGTGTGTTATTTTTGTCGCCTTTATTCATCTAACTCTATGTTTTACAATGTGAAGGAATTCTATTTGTATTGTTATCTAGTTTTCTTACTGAGTGTCATATTCAGCAGCAGCGTCCTTACCTTTTGATGTAACGGGAGTTTGTTTATTCCTATTCCCCCACCCCCCCTCTCCCGCCATAAATCCTGCTGAGAGCAAGGAAAAATCACGGCCAGCTCCAGATATAAGGCCCTACAGCTCAAACAGGAATTCCCGTTTTTGAGAGGCTGGCGTAGCCGGTCGATGGTAGCAATTATTATCTAGTAGTTTATACACAAATTGAACTACAGTTTAATTAATTTGTAACATGTGTTATTGAATGAATTGTTTTTTTTGAAAATAAATAAATGGGTTAATAGAAAATATTTCCTTGAGATGTTAACCCAAGAGACTGCAATCCTGGATTTAAAAAAAAGGTAATGAACCGCGCTGGGAAAAAAAACAACAATTTGTATTGGGCGCGTTGGAGGAAAAGAAGGGGGGGGGGGGGGTGTTAATCAAAGTATTTACAGAGTAAATGAACCCTTTTTAAAGATTTCCAATGAACTTCGGAGATGACTCTGAAATACCTTTAATTCTCAGATGACACCCATTATGTCGGAAGCAGCGAACATTTTAGTTGAGCGTTTAACGGAAAAGGCCAAAGAAAACAGCCACTTGGATATATACAGGTAGTGATTGATGTGCAGTGTGTTTCTTTTCTACGTATTACTTTTATTATATTTTCTTATCTACTGCGATCATTTTTTTAAAGTAACATAAACATCTTTTTTTTCACGTCATAGACGGTTCGATCGAGCAATCCATCGAGTTTGTCCCTTCCGGGAAGCTACCTATATGTTTACCATACCATCCTGAGATTAAAGAATCTCACTCTGAATGGACAGAGCAAGGCAGCACTTGGATACTTCAAATAAGTCATAATTAGGGCACCCGTAACGGTTACACCAGCTAGGTTATCACCTGCAGTCCTCTGCGGGTTCGGAATCGGTCCTTCTGGTCTCTAGGGCCTCATATGTGGCGTTCATGTGTGTTGGAACATGGGAACTCAGACATGTTAGGGGGCCCGCAATTTCTAGAGGAGGAGAGTCTCTGCCTTAGCCTAGAACAGTTGTGATGGGCTTGTGTCTCCTCTTCCCCTCCCCAGCCATGTAAAGAGGTTAAAGAAGTTTTCGTTTTTTAATTATGTATGCATTTAATTCTATTTCAAATATATTATTATATTTATTTGGCATTCAGCCCATTTTTTTTATTATTAACAACTTAAACAAGGCTCAGCACCCCTCTCCATCATGACTACGTGTAATGGGGCAAAGCCCCCATCCCCCCTCCCCCCACCCCAATGTTTTCGATTGTTGACGCCACTGACAGTAGCCTAGATGTGTGAAGACCTAACATTTCACATTCCAACATTGCCTCTCCCATATGTTTGCTTTTCTTACTATCTTTACCTTGTTACCAATTTCATAAAAAAGATAATAAACTGCAACCTTTTAGTTACACGAAACGAGCATTCTTATTCTTATAGTCCATGTCTGTGGCCTTGGTAGTCATGTCCATCCAGAACTTTGTGTCTCGTGTGCTTTCAATCAGTTCTGATACATATGATTTTCCATGTCATGACGTCCAACTGTTCAGCATCGACTCTCTCGGCATTACGAGATCAACATCTCGGGGATGCGAATTATTGTTTATTGTTTATTTTTGAGATCATCTTCATCGCACATCAGACATGACCATAAGTGCTCCCATCTCCTCCTGAGTATGTCTCCAAGTTGTTTTTTTTACGGCTAACATTCTTTTCTGGTTGATGTAACGACGGGTGGCTCCCTCATGGTTTTCCTATCTCGCCGCTCCAATTGGTTTACCCAGGGTATGCAGTCTATTCAGTGAAAAATCATTTTCCACGAAACTGAAAGCTTCACAGCGATTCGTCTGTTGTATGGCACTGATGATGTCTCTCCTGTCCACATAAAGCCTATTCCTAATAGTCTCACTGCCAGCCAGAACTTCTGCTCTCTCCTTGCCTTTCACACCAGCATTCCCTCGGACAAAATAAAGGTAATTTTTCTAAACGTTGTGTGCTGTCTCAGACGGAGCCACTGTTTCCCTGTTTACCCCACTTTGATCTTCTACAGCTTGCTCACCGAGTCGCTGAGCAAAATTTCATTTGTGAGAATCAAACAAGTGGAAATCCCTGAAACCGTGTTCAATCATAACCATACGCCACAGTTATATTGAGGCATGACAGTATGGTTACAAAGTACCATAAAGTCCATTGTGGGTGGACAGTTCATCTAACTTCGCCTTAAAAAAGGGCAGGTAACAAATTGTGGAGATGAGCGCCGTGTGGAGGATACTAGTCTTAATTTAGGAAGAGGAAATGCAACCTCATAACGTAATGTTATGGCAGGGCAGACAAGGCTCTTAGCCTTGGCTGGCAGCTGGTCAAGGAGGGAAGCTCCGACAGGCGGACAGATAGAGCACTGCTGGTGTTACTTTTCCTTTGGAGTAAACAAGGCAGTTGAGAGGGATAGATCATGATGTATGGTCAACATATGGTCTCTACAATACTGCTCAGGCTTTGTACTATTTTGTGGAAGACTTTTCTTAACGGGGGTTAGTCTTGCTAGTCACACACACCATCGCCATGGGCTGTGAGTCCTATACGTCCGCATAGCACAGTATAACACTGTCGTGTGAAAAGACGGAAAGATGCCAATCATATGCCATAACACCCCCCCCCCCCCACGCCCTAAAAATGGGCTTTCGGAAGAAACCGGGGAGTTTTTGATGTGTAAAACGGCCATCGTGATGTTGACACCATCATCAATCTAGTGTGCATTGGACCTTAAAATATGGGTCTAGCACTATATACCTGATGTGCCAATCGCTGAAGGCGATCTTAGACACGGGGCATTTTTGTGGTGAAGAACAATTTGTTTGTCATCGGCAATTGTTCTTGCTTGACCTCGTTTTCGGATAAGGGGAATTTCGGATAAGAATAACAATTTCCTGAGACCCCAGTGAGTCCTCCTTATCAGGTCTGCCCTGTACTTGTTACTTGATGCCTTGTACACATGTGCATAGTGGCATGCTTCGTTTCGCAGGTCAAAGGTTAAGAGAATCGTCTAGATCTTCTTTCTGGGGAATGCCGCTTTGTTGGGAAATGAACAGCAGGACAAAGTGGCTGGCTCTGCGCAACTTAGTGGAAAATTTGATACGTGATAAAGAAGACAAGGTAAAGACCTTATGGAAAACGTGTAAAATTCGGAACAACAAATTGATCATCACAGTCTTCTGAGAAAATGATACAAAGAGGGGTGACGAGCGCAACTTGCCAACACTCGGTGCTCAGAGGAAAGGCAAGGCTGGCACTTAATCAGACTGATACTAACACCATTGGGTTGGAACTCAAGATGGGGGACGGAGTGCCGGTGGGAATGCCCCAAGTGAGGTGATGTTGGTTCTTAAATCAGCTCAACTCAACTTGTAAACAAATAGTTATAACATTTGTTTGTCTATTTCAGCGTGTTTCAGTCACTTACCTTAGATGTTATTGGTCGCTGTGCATTTGGGCTAACCACTAAAGCCCAAGTTGATGAAACCGACATGTTTCTTGTGAAAATCAGGTGTCTTTTTCACACGATGTCGACCACCATCATCGAGCCAATCGTCAGTGAGTGCCTATGTACACGAAGAGTCTTTGTGATTAGTTTTTGTGACTATATCTTATTTGATAAAGTGTTTTTGTGACTGTTTTCCCCACCCTCTGGTGAAGTTGCTTTGTGATTGTCTTATTTAGAGAAGTGTTTTTGTGACTATTCTTATTTGTGTTTTTGTGTGTGACTATGTTATACTTTGCGAATTTGACCTTACATTAATATTTCACATTTGAAGCTAACGCGGTTGTCTATATCATTCTATTTCAAACCCAGAAAAAAGAACAAAACACGACACAGGTATTACCAACCAAGGTTTCACAAGATGAGCTAGAGAAGGGTCAAATCTTTCTACATACACCAATGTAAAGGGGAAAAAATTGATGGCTTTTACAAAGAAGCTATTAAACGAGCAATTTTCAGAATGTTAGACGGTAAAGAATTATTGACGCTAAAGAAATTAAATGCACAGGACAGGAAAGCATGGAAAGTCCTCTGTGAAGCCTCATGTGCCACTAGGCATAACGAGAACTGATGATGATGATGAAAGAAATTAAATTACACCCCAATAATAATCTTATTTGTTTAAAATACACACAACATATATGCTAATGTTGTATGAACATTCGCAGAAACTTACACCCTCATGAACAAACAACTGCAGAAACGTTTCTAACTTCTATAATACAAATATTTTACGTCGGTACTATAGAATGTGTATTGTTACCTAACTAAAAGTATACAAGTGATGAAAATAACAAAGATAACGTATGTTTCGATACAACTGGGCGGTCTAAATATTATTTATATGTTAAACCTTGATGTCAAGATGAAAATAGGAGCCATGCAAAAGATCACGTTGCAGGCAAGTTTAAAAAAAAGATGTTTGGTATTTATCAAAACACCTCGTCCCCTTCTCGTCCACTTTAGTTTTCTGTTGTAGTATTTTAATAAGCCACGGAGATGCATGGGAACCACAGCAAGGACCAATCAAGTCCAGAGATGATGTTCCTCCAGCACAAAACGCAAATGCTTGGAAGTATTGTAGATCTAAAGCAAAAGTAACACACGTTCGCTTGGAACATGGCATGCTGCAGATGCTGTGGATCAGATGAGCAGTGCTCTGTCCACAGTTTTATGTAAGAGCCCCCTCCCCAATCTCCCTCCCCCAACAAGCTGCCAGTCAAGACTAAGGGCTGGTCTATCGTGAGATATAACGTTTTCAACTTGTATTTCCTCGTCCTAGATTATCAGAATATCTTGGACAAAGAAGATGAGAAATATTGACATTTTAAAATATCTGAACATTAAGAAAGATTGGCTAATAAACAGCATCCTTTCTCGAAGCTGAAATATTTTGGTAATATCAAGCGCCACGACGGATTGGAAAAAATTATAGCAGAAGGCATGGTACCAGGAAGGAGGGGCAGGGGCCGACCGACACGAAGATGGGGACATGATATAAATTACTCCTTGAGTGTGAAAGTTCATGAGGCGGGAGAACTGGCGAGAAACCGAGTTTCTTTCAGGCAGACTGTGAGGAGAGCAACGTTCTGCAAAGGACCTGCTACATGATGATGATGATGAGAGTATAGATAGCTTTATTCTTTTGTCCTACTGTTTATTCCGTAAAGCGTCACAGAGAAGCCTTAAATGTAGTTTCCTATCTTTTGTTGATTGCGTATCTTGTGTTCATTTCATAATAATTGTCTTATCCATAAAAAGCTCCTCGATATATAAATGTACTTCTTTTTTTTTTTTCCCTTAAAGTCCATACCGTGTGGCGTTGGTAGTTTTATCCATCCACAGCCTTCTGTCTCGTGTACTTTCAATTAAGTCTGACACAGAAGACCTTCCATGCCATGACGTCAGACTATCCAGCATCTTTTCTCTCTGTCTTCCCTATCCTTTCCTCCAGCTTTCCTACTGTTTTGTACTCCAGTTTTCTCATCCTCTTCACATGTCCAAAGATGGTAGATTGACTTTTTCTGATGTGGGCAATCAGTTCTCTTCGTGTCAGTTTCTTTGAAGACATTTTCATTATTTTTTTTTTATGCGTCCAGGGTATTCATATCATTCGTCTATAAAACCACATCATCGCAACTTCAAAATGATTTTTCGCTAATCTACTAACTGTCCATGATTCACTTCCGTATATCAAGCTTTTAAGAATTCTCTTGCTCGTCTCAGTTTACAAATTCTTGTTAATATTTTGTAATAGATCCACATGGCAAACAATAAGGTTATAGACACAGAAAACATATTTACCTAATATCATTTCAATACATGGACGTTATGTATGTTTTACTTTCTTATTCACAAGAGTTTATTCTTGCTCGATCGGCATATTTCTTAACGTAAGTAGTTGTAATGTCGTCAACGCATCGACTGAAATAAAATTTAAAGTATGTCTTACTTAGTAGCTTGCGGATTTTTTATTTCCCGGAATTTATTGATCAATTTGCAAGTTATGGTAAGATGCAGTAGTTTGACATAGATTTTGAACCGGAGTTTGTGGACTTCGTTGACTCTGAACTAGAATGCAACTAGTTTCAGTTCTATTTTCGCAATATTGTAACCAAAAAAGTATCACTTCTGTTTGTTACATGTTGCGAAACTAGTAAAAGATTATATTCGTAAAAAAAAAAAAAAAACTAGCTTGCCGGTTAAAACTACCTTTTTTTTTTTTTTTAAATTGACTCAGCTAAGGTTATTTGTAACTTACCAAATCTCTTATGTCAAGGATATCTTACATTGGAACCTATCAGAACTCAACTTAAACTTTAATATGAACTCGTTTAAAAATTTTTCTTAACATTATTTCAGTGGAATTAAATTGTGTAGAAAACAAAAATGTGTGTGTATTTGTGTGTGTATTCACATGTACCTATGTCGTTCTGTCAGGTCGGAATGCTTGTGTCTACATAGGTCATTCCGTATGTTCTTCCATGTAAACATTTTGAATACAAAGAAGAAGAAGAAGAAGAAGAAGAAGAAGAAGAAGAAGAAGAAGAAGAAGAAGAAGAAGAAGAAGAAGAAGAAGAAGAAGAAGAAGAAGAAGAAGAAGAAGAAGAAGAAGAAGAAGAAGAAGAAGAAGAAGAAGAAGAAGAAGAAGAAGACGAGGAAAAGAAAGAAAAAGGAAAAGAAGTGACGAAGGAGAAAGAGATGGGAAAGATGAAATAAGAGGAGAGAGTAGAAAAGTAGGAGGAGGGGGAGAAGAAGGGAAAAAAAGACAAAGGGAGATGGGGGAGATTGTAAGAAACGTAAATACAAAAAGACAGAAAACTTAAAAGGAAAGAAAAAAAAAAAAAAAACGACAGTGTAATTAAAATATTCGAAAGAATTTTTTTTTTTCAAAAATATAATTGCCAAAGTGTTTTGCCTAGTGACATTTCGATGATATCTTTGTGTACAATCTTTGTGAGCTTTTTAAACTTGAAAAAATTGCCTTTTCCCCTTTGACAATAGCTAAAAATGAGCACCGGAAAAGGTTCTGGAAAATACAGGAAAACATAACAATGTTCACATGAACCATCGATAATTGATGAGAAAATTAGCACTATATACACAACACTCCCAAAGCACGAAGAAGGACCAAATCGACCGAAAGCCGTTTGGTCAATAAAATATAAAGACTTGCGCAGATTCTCAATGGAGATTCGGATGGAAGCATCAAGCCCAGAAATGGCACAAACACTAGAATTCAGTCACGAAAGTGACGCAAATAACCCAGACCACAAATATAGGCGGAGACAGCTAGCTAGCTGCAGTCAGAATGTGGTCGAGCTTTTCATTTTTTTTTTTTCCAAAAGGAATAGGAATAGGAATTCTCAATGTGTGATAAATAGTTAATTTATCTTTGTGCTTAACTGCTCTCTCTTCCTATAATGATACTTCAGTTGCTACCGGGGGTGGGGGGTGGGGGAGTGAGGGGGGAGGGTTTTGTAGCTTAAAGGATTAACACCTAGTGATTCATAGAGTCTCTCTGTTCAGATGATAATCCAACAGAAGCAAATCCCAGAAATCCGGTTCAACGATATAACACGTTACATTAGATCACACTACGTGAAAGAAGTAACATGCAATCCAATGTAGGTGGGTCCTTTTCTGCATAGAAGACGCCATTATAATTATCTACCATGTGGATAAAGGTAATGCTATCACAAAGCTACAATAATCGCTAATCACCTGGAGGATAATGACGACGTTCTGGCGCTAATACGTTCCCTTGACCTTGGAGTAAGACTTTGCAGGGAACGTCTATGCTGTCTTAGAGGCCAAGTCAGGAGACATTACAACCATCTTCCAATAATCAGTAGACGTGTACCTTAGAGTGTCTGCTGCATCGGAGGACTGAGTAAACAAATGAATGCCCGATGTGCAGTGACGTCGACAATGATAACATAACTGATCAGCTCTGTCTTCTGGTCCCAGTATGTCATGTGGCCCAGCCGTCAAGGCTTTTATCTCTTTGGTGTATTGTAATAACATAACTGTTCAGCTCTGTCTCCTGGTCCCAGTATGTCTTGTTCTCCAACCGTCAAGGCATGCTTCTCTTTGTTTTATTGTGATAACATAACTGATAAGCTCTGTCTTCTGGTCCCAATATGCTATGTGGTCCAACCGTCAGTGCATTTCTCTTTTTGGTTTATTGTGATAACTTAACATAACTGATCAACTCGGTCTTTTGGTCCCGGTATGTCTTGTGGTCGAGTCGTCAGTGCATTTATCTATTTGGTTTATTGTGATAACCTACAATAATTGACCAGCTCTGTCTTTTGGTCCCAGTATGTCTTGTGGTCCAGCCGTCAAGGCTTTTATCTCTTTGGTTTATTGTGATAACTTAACATAACTGATCAGTTCTGTCTCCGGTCCCATTATGTCATGTGATCCAGCAGTCAAGGCATGCTTCTCTTTGTTTTATTGTGATAACCTAATATAAATGATCAATTCGGGGTCTTTTGGTCCCAGTATGTCATGTGGTCCAGCCCTTTAAGGCTTTTATTTCTTTGGTTTATTGTAATAACATAACTGATCAGCTCTGTCTCCTGGTCCCAGTATGTCTTGTGGTCCAACCGTCAAGGAGTTTTTTTCTTCTGTTTATTGTAATAACATTAGTAATCAGCTCTATTTTTTGGTCCCAGTGTGTCTTGTGGTCCAGCCGTTAGGGCTTTTATCTCTTTGGTTTATTGTGATAACTTGAAATAACTGATCAGCTCTGCTCCCTGGTCCCAGTATGTAATGTGGTCCAGCCGTCAAGGAATTTATTTCTTTTGTTTATTGTGATAACATAAGTGATCAGCTCTATTTTCTGGTCCCAGTATGTCATGTGGTCCAGCCGTTAGGGCTTTTATCTCTTTAGTTTATTGTGATAATTTGGAATAACTGATCAGCTCTGCTCCCTGGTCCCAGTATGTAATGTGGTCCAGCTGTCAAGGCATTTATCTCTTTGACTTCCTCTGTACTATATTTTATTTTAAAGACCACAAAGTGGTAGGACAGGATCCCGGAGACAGTTGTATTGGACACAGCTGGCATTCCCAGCATCAATACCTTCCGGAAGCAGTCATAGATTCGATGGGTAGGTCACCTCGTCCGTTTGCGGATCATTGGCTCCCAAAAATAATTTTTTATAGTCAGATGCAAAAAGGCGGACGCTTTCATGGGGGCCAGGAAATAAACGGTACATGGACATGCTAAAAGCACCACTAAAAAGCCATCAATATAAATGTGTTGCAGCAGAGAAACGATACTCAGGCGAAATCATTTTCACCACAAAGAAACCGAATCCAAGCTAAGATAGCCAAGAACCAGTCCTTAATATAGCAGGCCCTTGGGCGGCTTAAAGAGGACTAAGCTTGAAATTTTAGTTTTCTTCAATCCGATACCGATTTTGTATAGACTCTGACACCTGGGGCTGCTGCACTAGACTGGACTGAATGACGAACGTCTATCCGAAAAGGTGCATCGACTCGTGAGGCATATAGAAAAAGGACATATGAACAGCGACAACAGGCTAGAAAAACATGAATAACAGGCCCTTTACCTACAGACTGTCCCCTGTCCCATTGTCATTGATCCATTCGGTTCCGTATCGGGCTTATAAGTCATCACCGGCCTCACAGAAAATCAACTACAGCTACATGACGGATGAAAAACAGAGTGGTCGTCCTCACCTGTGATAGACAAACAACAACATTTTATTTTAGTTTGACATGAGAAAGGAACCGACTGGTCTGCTCATTGAAAGTGTCAGGAAGGTCATTATCATCATCACTATCATCTTCATCATCATCATCATCATCGTCATCATCATCTTCATGAACTACTTCTGCTATTAGGCGTCGTAGGAGGAACAATTTGCAATCAAGTCATGCTATTGTCATGCTAAAAAGGCGTAAACGGTCTTTAATGTGGTCTGAAGTCACCTATTCTGCAACCTCTCGCAGATAGTTTTTTTTTTTTTTTTTTTTTTTACAAAAGAGCTTCAAATGAAGAATTACAAGTCTGATAAAAATTACAATAACCCTGCAATTGTTGTGTAACCTGTCAATACTGTTGTTACGGATACAAAAAGGATTAAGCACGTGACATCCTTAATACCAATATTGAGGTTCATTTTGACGCTCTCTCGTACTTATGTTTTGCGACTGCGTTTTCGAGGCCTTCCCCCCCCCCCCCCCCTTATTCTTATGAAAGTTAACCTGAAGGACCATGTTTCGTAAAATTGGCACATAGGTCCTGTTGTGCTTGAACTACACTTTTATAGACTAATCGACAGTCTAGTTATCATGTAGTCAACATCACGACAGCCACCTTTAATTGCTAGGAGTTCAGTTGCATTTCTTTTACAGGACGTTGCAGAACCAACCCTACAATTTTTTAGGCTGTTGGGATTTTTCTATTTAAATTTACTTTCAGTAGTTTGCCATTGCTTCGGAACGGTCGATTCTCGATACCACTAGTTAGATAGTAAGTCGACAGATTCATTGCATATCGAACCATACAATCCTTTTGTGCTTGGATCCCCTCCTTGGTAAATCGTGCAGCGTGTAGCGGTTCCTGACAAAGGTTCTATGTTGGTTTCTTATTCTTCTTCCGCTTCCTGCATAGTGCTCTTGTCTGGCCACACCCTTTTTAACATGGTCTTGTAGTCTAGTCTTGGTTGTCAATGCACAGTCATTCCTTAGTTCTAGCAAAATTTTTAATTTTCGTGGAGCATTCAGAATATCAGAATGATCAATGGTTTGTCGGACCTCCAAAATACCTTTACCTGCAAGCGGATCTGCTTGCTCATTTCCTTGCACACATGCGGTCCTGGTACAAATATGAAACTGGTATGTGTCAGCCCCGACCACTTTAGAGACTCCAACCACAGTATTCAGATCCATCCCTTCTCTATCTTCCTGGATACCACTGTCGAAACTAACACAAGACAGTTTGCTGCAAAGACGTCTGCTGCCAAATCGCCTGCAGCTGGTATCGAGCCGGGCACTCAGGCATTACGAAGCACATTAAGGGTCTAATTCACAGACGCCGACAGGCGTGCTAGGGGTCTATATTTGTAATCAGGCTTTTTTATCTCTTGAAAACAAAAGGTACACAGTCTTAAAAACAGCGATGTGTGGCTTAAGGGGTGGTATGTAGTGCCGATCGTTCAAGAGCTGAGGTAAACTACTGAAAGTAAAATTGCCTAAATAAACCACTGGCAGAAAGTGCTGGGGTTGGTACTGCAACGCTCTCTAAAGGAAGCACAGTTTAAAAAAAAATCACAGCAAAGTGTCTATTACATAAGTCTGAAAAGGTGATGCCTAAGAAAAGGTGCAAGAACTGCATACCGTCGCCCCCTCCCCTCGCCCCCCCCCCCAAAAAAAAATTGTTTCTGCCCGTTTTAGACTGGGTTAACCTGGAAGTCTTAGGTTCATTACAAAAATGCGTCTTTCTGCTGGTTTGAACCTAAGATCTTCTGTCTACAGGCAAGCTTTCTCCTAATAACAAGTCAATGAAATTCTTGAAAATTTACCAACAATGTTTTTTTTTTTTCGGTGATAGTGGCCGTGCCGTTTGTATCTCACTTCATCTTCGCACTCAAGAACATTGTGTTCCTGTTTGGCATGAATCCGGTAGTTTGGCTGAGAAACAGCATGAGGGAAGTCATTCGCCATCGACAGGCACTTGGGGTAAGTTGGATACCGATGCTTTTCCTGCAAGTCTGAGAGTGTTGGTGTGTGTTAGTGTGTTGAATGTTGAATTAAGAATCGACATCATAGCACATCAGAGCCATCTGTACAGATAATCACAGCACTTAGGCGGGAATTGTCATGCATCATTTCTTGATCTTCTGATTCTGTAGCGCCAGCTGGCCAGTCCTTGCATTCACGACTCAAAGTGATAAGCATCCTGCACAAGTATGAAACTTGCTCGAACACTTTGACACTCCTTACCTCGCACATATTTATTAAACCTGCACACACGTCTGTTTGTGTCTTCAGCTTGCACCGTCCAAGACCTTCCTCTTTTCAGTCCGTGAACACTTAGATCTACCTAGGGCTTCATGCAAGAGGTGCTTCCAGTCTGCAGCTACTCTGAGATATTACTTTGATATAGTGTGTTTGATGAATGGGTATGTGTGAAGGCGATCTATATTTGTAATATGAGAGTGTGTAATGCGAGAGAGAGAAAGAGAGAGAGAGAGAGAGAGAGAGAGAGAGAGAGAAAGAGACTGAGCGAGAGATGCGTGGGTGTGGTGCAGAGAGATAGCGAAACACACACATATATACATACATAGATAATACACATACACACGAATAGCGAAATGCTTTAGCTACACTGTATGTATTAACTATTGTATTGTAAAGTGTTATGTAATCAGCCCTTACCCCAACAAAACTGCAAGATATCCCTTCTGATGCAGCCGTCAGGAAAGTCAATTAGAACTTCTTCTGTGGTCTCAATGAGTATCTTTTGGATTGCCACCCAACCTAGGCGAGACTGTTGGAATCCATTGCAGCAACCTAAGTGAGACTTGGAAATCCATTGCAGCAACATGGGAGAGGCTTGGAAATCCATTACAGCAACCTAGGCGAGACTTGGAAATCCATTGCAGCAACCTAGGCGAGAATGTTGGAAATCATTGCAGCCATATTTTACTGAGGAGACCGCGCAATAGCTTGACCTAAAAAGATAGAACAGCGCAAACCAGAACAAAGGACACGGACAAAATATTTAAACACATCAAGGAGCCCGAAGACAACTTATCACAGACATTAGAATGAGACACTCATCCTTTTTTGGCCATGTTATGAGAAGAGGAAAAATAGAACATGTTGTGACCACGGAAATATTTGTGGAAGGAGGGATAGAGGAAGACAACAAGAGAAGATTCTTGACAGTCACCAGAAATGCAGTTTGTCGTTGATGGGAGTAGTCAGGCACGACAAGCTGGTTACTGTACACACACGTCGAATTCTTACATAAGGTATTTCACCAGCTCACACGTAAACCGGCCACTGGCCATGTTGAACAAAACGACGCAACAGCTGTGCAAATGAAAGGCATTCCTTAGAAAAAACACAGCTCACAGTTCTGCAACCAAACACTAAACGCAGTAGCTCAAGCTGCTAAACCGTAAATACCGTCCTTATGTGGAAACTGCATTAGCAAAGCATTGTGGAAAGCAAAAATAACTTCGAAGCTTATAATTATGCCAAGCCTTTACTCTATTTTGGCCAAAAGTAGGATATCAGAGATTACAGAGCCAAAGACTCCATAAATGTGTATAAGGGAAAGAAAACAATAACGAAGTATTAAATAATTCTTTTAACAGCCCAACACCAATATCATAGACCTTGTTCAACTGATGCTGTTTCCATCGAGACCTCAACACGACGTGTGCGCTGAACTGCACTCGGCTCTGACAGAGCGCGAGATAGTTGCCCAGAGCATGACCTTTCTGTTAGCGGGTTACGAGACAACCAGTGCCGTCTTGGCTTACATTTGTCATGAGCTCGCTAAACATCCAGAAATTCAAGAACGTCTGCACCGGGAGATAGTGGAACACATTGGGACGGTGAGAAATAGACAAAGTGATGGATGAATTCACTGATGAATGGGGTGATACAATATTTATATAAATCATCATCATCAGGTGCCTTGCTGACTGGCGTATGCAGTCATGCCTCTCCTCAGTCTGCAATTTCCTGCAGCATGTATTAAATCGTGTGCTAACACACCTCCATGCCAGGCAACAAGATTGTCAAGAATCTTCTTTCGTTGTCTTCCTCTATCAGTTCTATCACAGATTTTTTTCAGTAGTCACAACATGTTCCATTTTCCCTCTTCTTATATCATGACCAAAAAATTGTGACTGTCTCTTTCTGATGTCTGTGATAAGTTGTCTTAGGGCTCCCGCCTCTTTTAAAACTTCATGGTTGCCCATTTTGGCTGTCTAAAGTATTTTAAGCATTCTTCTGACAAACCACAGCTCTGAGGCCTCAAGAAAATATTTTGGCCTGCCTACCGATTTTGCAGGACTCATTATATATATATATATATATATATATATATATATATATGTGTGTGTGTGTGTGTGTGTGTGTGTGTGTGTGTAATTGTACTTTGCCGCAGTTAAAAAACCCACTTGTCCGGTGTACTTCCATTGACCTTAGAGAATCAAATGAAGTGCCGAGATACTGTCCTAGAGTCCATGGTGAGATTGTGCAGTGTTGATAAGTTTTCTCTTCAGTTTATGTGTCTTGGAGTGTTGCAGAGAATAATAACACCCACATTAAAGTTACCGGGAGCCGCCGTAGTCTAGCGGCTAGACGCTCACCTGCGGATAGGTAGGTCGTGGGCTCAGTTCCTGACGAGGACCTGAATTTAAAAAAAAATACCCTGGTTCCCAGGTCGATCCAAGGTTGAGTGGGTACTAGGTACAGTCCTAGGAGTTAAAGGCGACCGGCGTGATGCTGACCACATCAACCACGAAATCCCGTTTGGTCTATAAAAATATAGGTCTAGCCCTATATTCCCAATACGCCTGAGGGCGTGGCAAGGGTCCTTTTTTGTATACTATATTGTTACTACTAGTTAATCTATACTTCTTCTTCTTTGTTCTTCTGGTTCACCTCCTGTAAACTCCGGCCGAAAGTTATGGGTCTTTGTCCACTTATGGAATTTAGCCTGGTTCCAAAACCTGAGTGTTGTGTGCACGTCCGTTTTACAGATTTGACTGATGTGCATGTAGACTGTTGGGTCCTTGTCTCTCAGGCAGATGCACACTGACTTCGAAGGAAGTCCCAGTTAGTCGAATCTTACGACATGCTTGTTGCTGGCGCATTGGGTCTCTTCTTTTCTCCACAAAATGACATAATGGCCTAATCAAAAACTGAAAGAATTGTCACTGAAGGGACAGATTGATTTTCTACATTTTTTGGAAAGGAAAAATCAAAGAAAGACAGCAGAATATTTTGCGGGTTAGCAAGACCTCAGTTAGCAACATCCGTAACGATATACATAATTACTTCGTTGACGCTAAAAACGTATAAAGAAATCGCATAGTGATGCGAGAACTATAAACAACGACATTGTAGTATCGGAACTGCATGAACATTGCACAAATTATTTAATATGTAGAAACACACAGTCACAACGTGGTACCAGAACTACCCACACAAATATAAACTGATCACGTTTTTTTCTTTTATCCCACAGAAAGATGTTAATTATGACACAATTCAGGATCTACATTATTTTGATGCAGTCTTTGATGAAATCTGCCGCTTGTACCCTACAGCATCTTTGTAAGGACAACTTCACTAAACTATCCGTTTTGTTTTTACATTGTTTTTGATAGTCAGCTGGTATTTATCACAGGTCTGTCATTCTCTATCTATCTGCCTGTTTGTTTGCCTGCCTACTTGTCTGCATGTCTGTCTATCTGTTTATTTGCCTGCCTGTCTGTCGTTTTCAGAATATTAAAAAAAAAAAAAAAAAAATTTCTACAGCTTGGACCAAGTGTAAACTAGTAATAGAATGCATTGCTTGATGGCTGTGATTCACGGGCAAGAGGCATCACATGTTGCTGGCAATGAAAGAATATTTAAAAAGTTTTGACCTGAACATTCAGAAAAATACAAAGAAACAGTTTGGCTTCGTTCTTAACATCATTCGCAGATCTTCATTTCTGTATGCAAATGATGACTAATGTATATGTTTAATCAAAAATAACTTTTTACTGACATATTTCCAGCATTGTCACCCGTCAGGCAGAGGAGGACAGACAATATGGCAATGTGAGAATCCCAGCTGGCATGAATGTGCTAGCTAATGTATGGGCACTCCATAGAGATGAGATGTATTGGTTTGAGCCAGATATCTTCAATCCAGACAGGTTAGATTTATTTACTTAAAATCTATGCATAATGTCGCTTTACTGTAAGGGAAAGTATGGTTCCATTGAGTCAAGGGGAAAACAATGAAAGAGTTGAATGGCACTTTTGCTGTTACAACTAGTAGACTCCCAATAGAAACTGTGGCTGAAAAAAGGGAATTAGCATGGCTTTTTTACACAGGGGTTCACATAAACGTATTCACTTAGTGACTGAATGAATACGCTTAAGAAAATCTAGGCTGGGTTCATTAAACAAAAATGGATTGCAACATTAAGCACTTCGCAAATGGCTGGCGTAAACTTCATCGTTGTGCCAGTGATGTGGGTGGTCGAGGCAACGAGCGTTCAAATTATGTTGCAGACACTGCGGTTGCAGACACTGACGTTCCCGGTCCGATACTGGACAGAAGCGACCTTATCAATGACATGCGCAGCACTTACCGCGAAGACGAACAACAAAAGGCATAACTGGTATCCATGTCTAAGCGGATGAACACGGGGGTGACACCTGGTGCTGCAAGAAATAAACAGTTCACTACAGGGACAAGACGTTTTATCAGTCAGCACAGAACATGTATCATCAATCGTTTTACACTTGTGGAGCTTTTTAGGGGGAGATCGGAGCATCTATGGATCTGTTAATAGTGCTGTGATGATCATCCCTTAATATTTAAGTAGTTCGATGTCAACCTGTTAAAAATTACATAATATGTCGATGTGATACATTCATGCTTACAGACAGAGACAGACAAATACACACACATACAAAGACACTTGTGATTGTTTCCTTATGTCTCTGTAATTTTGTATGACAAGCAAGATGTTGTGAGGGCCCTTTGGGAGCGAGTAAACAGTGCAGAAGCACAAATAGTTTATGCTAGTCTGATGAAAATAGAGCGGGGAGTTACCAGGGGATCTGGCCGACGCTCAACACTCAAGGCAAGGGCGAAACAGATATGCAATGAGACAGTTACTAAAACCATCGAAATTCGAACTCTTCGCTTGTTGCTGAAAAAGGGGACGGAGCGCTTATGTCCCGAGTGCTATTATGTTGATTCCTAATTCAACAACATTCTAAACTTTTTTCTCTTCAGATTCATGGATGAACCTCATTGTAAAAAAGCTGCCTGTACTTTCATTCCATTTGGCGCTGGGCCGAGACACTGTATCGGCATGAGATTCGCAACTATTGAAACTAAAATCACAATTATCAAAGTCATACAGAATTTTACCATCGAAATGTCTGATGCCTCAAACGTAAGTTTCAAAGGTTCAGTTGTGCCTTTACCATCATCACCGTATGTCACGTGTCTCTGGTTGCTGTTGACTGTCTTTCAGTTTCCTTCCTCTCTTAAAAGCAGTGGATTTGATGTTTTGTCTGTATGAGGCCTGTCGATCATCACGTAGCAGAACGTAGCTCTCAGCACGGACTGTCTGACAGAAACTCAGTCTCCCGTCGCGTGCACTTTCCAATCCAAGATGTCACTTATATCCTGTATCCATCTTATCTGCCTCTATTTCTCTGCACCATGCCTTCTGCTATCAAGTTTTCCAATCCACTGTGTTTATATCCTGTATCCATCTTATCTACTTCTATTTCTCTGTACCATGCCTTCTGCTAACAAGTTTTCCAATCCACTGTGGTACTTGCTTTTGCCAAAATATTTCAGTTTCCGAGACAAGATGCTGTTTACTAGACGATCTTCCTAGATGTTAATTTTTTTGGGGATGTATTTCTTTTCTTCTTCGCCTATATTATTCTGAGAATCCTCCTATAGCATTCTATAGCATGAGGCTTGTCCATTCAGACAAATTCCGTATTTGTTCAGCCCATTGGAACGTAAGTTCACTTGAGGCTTGGTCCCCCCCCCCACCCCCCCCCCCGGGGGTTGTCTCCTCTATATCCGTCTGTTGCAAAAGTATTCAATAATTGCAGTAAAGACAGTAAATTATACACTACCCTTTGAATTCTGGTTCTGGATCAGTTGGAATAATTCTTGGACATGGAAGACAGCATAAGGAGTCCTTTGCATAAGATTATTATTATGAATTGCTTATGATGTAATACTGTCATTATTCAGTCAGTATATCATCCTTATAAGTGATTGGATCACCTGCTCTGTGTGCTATGTTATGTTATCACAGTCGACGTCTCTGCACATTGGCTCACATGTGTGCTCAGTCCTCTGTTGCAGTAGTCACCCTTACAATACCTCTAGTGATGTACGAGTATAACTAGTATTCTCCAGTTAGCACCCATTTTTTTAACGTTTACTCTTTATTTTTCGGTCACATAGAATTCAATTTAACAATATCTCGTCATCCCCTTGTGGGATGCAAATTTCAGCTATTTTGGAGCTTTTGCCGGGGGCCCAAAAAATAACTGGGCCACAAATATGGCTTAGCGACTGAACGGGGTTTCCGGAACCTCTCCACGGGTGATCCTCATCCGCATGGTGACACTTTGTGTCACCAGGTGTTGATCGCTTGTGCGATGTCCTGGTAGGGTACAATTACCTTCCTACCATTTTAACAAGGTTTATTGTATTTACAACTGTTTACAGGCTGATCTGGAGCTCTTTTCCCGGGGTGCTATCGTTCCCAGGCATGAAATCAACGTCAAGATCACTCAGCGTGCTACTGCAGACAGAAGGAGATTGGTCAGACATTGTTAAGTTTAGCAATTTACAGATTTGTCACTATCAAGAGCCTTACCAACTGGCGTGGGTGATCATGTCTCTTCAGGAGCTGCCATCTGTAACAGCATGTTTCAGAAAGTGTGTTGATACCCCTCCATGAGGTAAAAAAAAATTGCTGTCAACAATCATCTCAAACTGTCTTCTTCTTTCTCTTACCCACAGATTTTTCGGTGGTCACATCATGTTCCAGGTTTCTTCTTCTGATAACATGGAGAAAAAAAAAATCACTGCTTCTTTCTAATTTTTGTGTTAGTTGTCCTCAAGCTTCTGCCTCTTTCAAATGATCTGTGTTGCTCTTTTTAGCTGTCCAAGGAATTCTGCGGATTCTTCTTTGAAACCTCATCTTCAAGACCGCAAGAAATTATTTGGTGTGTTTGCTAACTGTCCAGGGTTCTCAGCCATATGTTAAAACTGGCTCTATATAGTAAGGGAGAATTCTTTGTCTAACCTCAGATGACATGGATTTATTGCATAAAGTGTTTTTCATTTTATAAAATGCACTTTTAGCTGTCATATTCTGTCCCTTATTTCTGTTACACATCTTCCGTTGGATGTAATCCATGTGTCTAGATACTTAAATTTCTGTACTTGTCCTAAAAGTTAACTTTTATTTTAAAATTTCGGCAATATTATTTTCTTTGGTGCTACTATTACTTCTGTCTTCCTATTATTCAAACTGAGGCTTATTTGATCACTTTCTACCACCACCATTCCTATCAATCCCTGCAGTTATTTATGATTTGTTGCCATGAAGACAGTGTCGGCAGCACAACATAGGCTGTTTATGTTATGACCACCAACCACAATACCTGGCATATCCGAGATAAATCTCCTTATATATTACCTTCAGATTATAAATACAAAGTAGTATGACAGGCTTGTGACAGAGATGACTGAAACAATTTTGAGGATCATTCTAAAACCTCTGGCATGCAGAGTTCTGGTTGCTTACTATTAAGAAAAATAACTCCAGGACTTTGGAATATGACACATACATATTTTACAAGAGATTTCTTTCTCTCTCTATCTCTCTCTCTCTCACTGTTGGGCTGAAATTGGCATTTCCTCTCTCTCTCTCTCTCGCTCTCTCTCTCTCTCACTGTTGGGTTGAAATTGGCATTTCCTCTCTCTCTCTCTCTCTCTCTCTCTCTCTCTCTCTCTCTCTCTCTCTCACTCACTGTTTGGCTGAAATTGGCATTTCCCCTCTCTCTCTCTCTCTCACTGTTGGGCTGAAATTGGCATTTCCTCTCTCTCTCTCTCTCTCTCTCCTCACTCCTTTCACCCCACCATGGCTGATATTAGTATTTGGATGTAAAATATACCGTTAATTATGTATCGAGTGCATCAGGTCACATGTTGTTTCTGTCTTCTCAGAATAAACTTAGGTGTAAAATATTAAATTAATGAAGTCTAGAAAAAGTGTTTCTTAAAACAGTTGATTTGAAAAAAAAAATTATATAAACAACTCAGCAGAGTTATTGTTTGGTCATAGTTTCTTAATTTCTCATTGGAGCTTAGGCTGTCAAACCAACTTATTCCTAGAAATCCTCGCTTTTGCTATTTCCTGCAGTTTCTCCACATCATTTCATCTTATTCATCTACTTGTTATTTTGTTGTTGTCCATTTGATTTTAGTCCGCTGTTTGACAGGGAAGCTGCCAGTTCTGCGAGCTGCGTTTTTTTTTTTTTTAGTTTTCATTATATCTTTTTAGACTGCAACTTTGATAAACACACACACACACGCACGCACGCACGCAGGTCTCTACTTCTTTGCTCAGGTTTGTAGGTCTTTCTCTATATCTTTTATCCTGTGGGCTCCATTTAGGAGACTTTTATCAGTTCTTCTCAAGGTGTCTTCACCAAAATCAGCGTATTTTTCTCACATCCTGAGTCCCTGGAATTGGTTTAATTATATCCTCAAGCTCCACTTCAGTTATTCGTCATATCATTGAATTCATGCACCAGGGATATTTGGAAGTTCTTCTAGGAAAACAGCCTCTTCTAATCTTAGTTGGCTAAGTAATTCTTGTTCCCTTTCCAGAGGATGAGACAGCCAACCTTAAGACCAACCCTTCCTTAGCTAGTTTTTTTGACAGGTTTGATAGGATTCAGTGTTACTATTAACTACTTCCAACAACAGAACATGTGAAAACAGGTGCCTTGGCAATATACTATGTTCACAATGTTTGCTTTTCAACATTAAAATGAAAAATAGGGTACAGCCTTCACAAAACATTCTCTGTCATAATGATCATTAAGTTAGTCTGAAAACCAGTGTTGAAGTTATTTCAGCATGTCACATCACTAGACTTTATTCTTCTTCTTCTTCTTCTTCTTCTTCGCGTTCACCAGCTGTAAACTCTGGCGGAAAGTTTTGGTTTGTTTATCTACTTCTGGACCACAGTCCTGTTCCAGAAACTTGGTGTTGCGTGTGCGTCCGTTTGACAGATCTGACTCATTTGTGTGCAGACTGCTGGTTCCTTGCCCTTCAGGCAGATGCACTCTGACTTTGAAGGAATCTCCAAATTAGTTGACTTTTACGACGTGCTTTTGTGAAGGCATTGGGTCTATTCTTGTTTTTCCTTTAACAGGGCCCCAGAACCGACACGGGGAGTTCCTTTTTTTAATAGGTATTTCTTCGAAAAGTCCTTCTCATATAGCTTTGGTCATCATGTTTGTTCCAGCCTTTTTTCATATGTAAAACCAACAGTTTTGAAACAAATGATTCTCTATGTCATAATGCCAAACTATCTAATCCCTGTATATCATAATGCTAAACTATCTTCCTTCTTCTTCTTCTTCTTCTTCTTCCTCCTCTTCCTCCTTTTCTTCCTTCTCCTGCTTCTTCTTCTTCTTCTTCTTCTTCTTCTTCTTCTTCTTCTTCTTCTTCTTCTTCTTCTTATTCCTCTTCACATTAACTAACTGTAAACTTCAGTGGGAAAGTTCTGGTTTATAATGCTGAACTACGATTTTCTATGCGTTCAGTAAGTCAACTCTAGCAGAAAAGTTATGGTTGTTTGTCCATTCCTGGATTTGGTCTTGTTCCAGAACTTCCGTTATATGTGCACATCTGTTTCACAGATCTGACTTAATTGTATCAGAATGTTAGTTTCTCGCCTCTAAGGCAGATGTACTTTGAAAGAGAAGTATACAACCCTTGTTAGATGACTTTTAGATATTCTTGTGGGTGCGGGCCAGTGGGTCAGTTTTTTTACACTCGAAAATGGGGCTCCAGAGCCAACGTAGGAGGTAAAATATCCAGCATCTTTTCTCTTGGTATCTCCCTACCTCTTTTGCCCTACAATTTTTATATGGTCACAAAGAATGAGGACTGTCTCCTTCTGGTGAGGGTAACATTAATTTCCTATAAAACAACCTCAATAGACATTTCATCAGTCTGTGATGTTGCCTGTCATCGATATTTTATAAAAATAATATCTCTTTAGCTCAGTATATGTTTTATATATAGAAGTTTTTCTATATTGCAGTTGACTCTTATCAGAAAATACTGTAAAAACCTTCATGGTTCTCACATTTCCTCAAACCAGATGTTCTCTGGAACATGTTTGGAATTCTACAGAATTGCATTGTTTCTAAAAATTAAAATATACATTTAAAAAAAAAAATTTTCAATCTTGACATTTATTATGACCGAACATATTTATTTTATAAATATTGCTTGTCGCTC